AAGCTTTGATTTTTATTTCTTAGTGACATGCTAGAGTTTTTTATTAATCTTGTTAGTATCATGCCTATGATCTTTCTATTATTATTATGCTTTAACATGAACATGATTGCTTCTATGATTTATAATTATTTTGATGATGATTATTTTATTATTATTATTATTATAATTGTTATTATTTTTATTATGATGATTTATTATGTTGCTTGATGATATATATTATTGTTATTGCTTGATCACACCTTTTATGCATGTTTAAAGGGAATTGGTACTTGTAATCACGCTTAATAAGATAATTAATAATCTTGTTTAGGGTTAATATTATTATAATTCAAATGATCGTCAATAATAGTTTATTTGTGCATTAATATTCAACTAACATAGATAAATAGGTTTAGGGTTAAACTTATTGATTGCATGTTAGTCAGAAAGCGCACATGAATACAATCAGAATAAAGTAGAGGCCTATTATTAGGGCAGGTTCAATCTCTTTTAGGTTGGATTTGTACCTTCATCCCCGAACTACCAATCATGGTTCCAGACCTATTGGAGTAGACGATCTCCTGGATCGTTAAGGGGTGTAACCTTCACCTCGTGAATGGTTTACAAGTCCAAAAGATTTAACGACAAGGTTATTATTGGACTACTATGAGGAGAGATTTGTCACTAATATGTCAAGAAATGTATGAAGTGTCAAGTGTACGCAAATTTGCATCACATTCCACCTTCGCTTCTCTATACATATACTTCTCCATGGCCTTTCTCTACTTGGTGTATCGACATCATTGGAAAGATAACTCCACCAGGACAAGGGGGGCATGAATTCATCCTTGTAGCAATCGACTATTTCACCAAATGGGTCGAAGCTGCCTCATATGCTAAGCTAACAGCAAAACATGTAGCTCAATTCATTGAGAAAAATATCATATGCCACTATGGGGTACCTCATGAGATGATCAATGATAATGGGACGCATTTCCAAGCCGAGTACACAGAACTATTAAAGAAATATCATATCAAGCATCACAGATCATCACCCTACAGGCCACAAACCAATGGTGCGGTCGAATCGACCAATAAGAATGTGAAAACTATCATCGAAAAGATGACGGAAAATTACAAAGATTGGCCAAGTAAGCTACATTTCTCCCTTTAAGGTTATCGAAACTCTGTTCGTACATCAATGGGGGCTACCCTTTTCTCTTTGGTCTATGGAGTTGAAGTTGTACAACCAATAGAGATCGAAATCCCTTCTCTCCGAATCGCGTGGAAAACCAACTAGATGAAGTTGACTGGATTAGAGCAAGATATGATGAACTAGTCTTACTTGACGAAAAACACTTGGCAGCTTTGCATCATGTCCAAACCTACCAAAAGCGTATGGCACGACATTTCAATAAAAAAGTCAAGACTAGGAACATCAAGGAAGGTGATTTGGTGCTTAAGGCACTTCGCAAAAATGTGTTGAATCCAAGAGGAAAATTTAGACCAAACTGGTCAGGTCCATACATTGTTAAATCCATTTTGTCTGGCAGAGCGGCACAATTGGTAGACATGGAGGGCAACGGTTTCCACAATTTAACCAACTTGGATCAACTCAAGAAATTTTATGCCTAGTTGCATGGGTTCATGACCTGATAGAGCTACGTTTGGCCTGATTCCTTTTTAAGGATACGTAGGCAACCCCTCAAGGGGGCCCGACCACTTTAAAAAATAAAATCCTTCCTCCGTCGATCAAGTACAACACTCAAGACAGCAAAACGGAGCTAAAATCAAGAAAATCATGCATTGCGCCAGTTTAGCATCCACCGCGCTACGTCAGCTGCCACCGTCGCACGACAAAATACCCTGTGGCACGGCAAAAAAAATGTCGTGCCACGTTAGCAACCACCGTGCCGCGAGAAGAGTTACTGTGTCACGACAGTTTTCACCGTGTCATTTCCAGCACAAAAAAAAAGGCAAACCTTCCCCGCGTCACGGTACTTTCCAGCGTGACACGGTGGATTTTTTGCGAATTCCTTTTTTGTTACTTCTTCGACGGTTGTTATTATTCTTCCATTGCGTCCGACTTCTTAACTCGGATAAAAAAAAATAAAAAAAAGGGTCATTGTAATTTTTATTTAAGGCGAAAATAAATATGCTATTATTATTAAAATAAATGTGACTACAATTATTGGCACCATGCGCCTTATTTAAAAATTAAAAAATTATGAATCATATAAGCAAAGAAATATTTATCTAATCCTTCTTCACTTTAGGAACCTCCTTCTCTTTTTCAAATAGGTCGGCCTTCACCATTAATGTGTCTTTTGTAGCCCGAACCGTCACACCTCTAGTTGAATTTTCACCCCTTCCACCTTTCTTAGAATTCTTCGATTGCTTCTCTCTATAAACCATCTTTTCCTTACCCTTTCCTTTCACATAATTTTTCTTTTTAGGCATAATAGGAATCTTAAACTCAATTCCTTGTGTTCTCGGACCTAGACGATCTTTAAGAGTCGCCTTCTTACTTCCAAGACGTCCCTTCACATCAAAGTTGCATGATCCGACTCGATCCCTTCGGCTTCTAGGATTCAACCATGCCTTGTATGCACTTAATAAGGGAGGAGGAGCTTGGTTGCTCGCAGAAACGGTCCACAAAGGTCTTCCAATCCAATAAGTCTCGTACTTGTGAACGTTAATTTCATGCAACGGTACTTCACGAGGACTATCGTTATAGCGTGGAACTACTTGTTCAAGCCAATATTGTCGCATCAATCGAGAAGGACAATAAAAAGTCAATTTTGAAATACTAGGAACGCGACAAATAGGAGGATCATTCGTACCAACCATCCTAGTAAGCCTCCACCAAGGCACCACCCACCGAATGGAAAATTCTCTCTTTGCAAAGAAGACCTTCCAATCATCATACGACATGTTCGCAGAGTAATTCTCCTTCCTACGGACCAGATCATTGGGACCATATTTTTCAATATCGTCGGGGCTTTAAAAAGTTCTAAACGCTCCATCAACCAAATCTGCAAAATAAATAAAAAATCAGTCAAAAAAAAAATTGCAGAAAACCACCGTGACACGGCAGAATGCACCGTGTCACGGCAGACATGCACCGTGACACGATGACAGCTTTGTGTCACAGGGGCTAATCAGAGCGCGTTTTTACCTGCAAAAGTACTAGAGAGCCCTTCCTGGTGTCTTCCGGTCAGCTTTTGCTTCGTCAAGGCCGCGTAAAGTTTCTCCAAGGTAAGTAGGCATAGGAGATCTCCCATATTCAACATGTTCAAGCACAGACACTAAACATGCATGTCCTACCCTACCGTTTGCAAATAAAAGCTTGCTAAACATGCAAAAAATATAAGCCCTTCCAAGGTATACATGATAAGACTCAAAGACAGGGCGATTGAAATATAAATTTGCAAGTTTTTCTAAATCTACTTCATTACCACACACAATTTTATTTAAATCTGGATCTGTCAGACTCATATAGCGTTCAAAGTCTTGGTAATAATACTCACATAGGGTAGGCATTGCAATGAGATTTTTGGCAGGAAAACTAAAGATGGCACCGAATTCCTCCGGCAGGGGACAAATTTCATCATAATCAAATTTAAAACAATGTGTTTGTGGATTCCAATAATCTAAAGCTGCCCTAAAGAAAATCATGTTCAATTGCTACATGCCTCAAGGCTAATAAGCCTCTGACATTAAACAATTTCAGCTCTCTTTTGTCAGCATTGGTCAAAGAATAAGACCAGTCGCGCAATGTATTATCAAAATTTTGAGACAATATTATTGAAATATGAAATTCTAATTATTTTATGTTTTGTAATTATGCATATCACGAATAAACTGGTCCTCTTTTATAGCCAAAACGTTTGGAAATACTCAAAATCTATCTTTCTATGTGCACAAACTACACCGTTGCAGAATAAGCGCACTGTAACACGGGAAATTCCGCCGTGTCACGGAAATAGTGTCGCGACACGGCAGGCTTTGCCGTGACACGGTGTACATAGATGTGTCGCGGTGCCCACGCGTCTTCATATTTTTATCCGGATTTTTATCGTTTTCCCTTCACCATTTATCTTCTAATTTTGTTTTTCGAGAGTTTTATTCCTAATAAAATTCTCCATTTAATTTATCTTTTTTTTTTTTTTTTATCTTTATTAATTGTTATTATCTTATTTTTATTTTCTTTTTATTTTAGGGGAGTTATAAAACTTGCCCCATTTTTCTTTTTTGTTTCTTTTTCTTTTGGGGAAATTGTAAAATTTGTCCCATTTTTCATTCTCCTTTTTTCTTTTGGGGAAGGTAGGTACCCTCCACTTACGATTTTTTCGCGTCATTAATAAATACACAATCACTCACAATGAGTCTCAAGCACACACTACTACACACTAATAAATGCATAAACTCTGAATAAAATATACAAAGTAAATTGTGATGCATAAACAACGTCAAGTGTCATCAACCAAAATACAAAATAAAAACCCTCGGTCAAAAATATAGAACTAGAAGAGTGAGGATCAGTGTCATCTCCAGCCTGCGATTACGGGAACGGTGAACCAAAGAGTCCCTCCATCATCCGGGTACGAGGAGTAGTATCCTTACTGGGTCCCTGTAGCTCTAGTAGCAGACAAATAAAAACTTCCAACTAGCAAACGACGTAGACTGACTCCAAGAGGTAGGAAGCTCGATGGAGGCATCATCCCAGACACTGAACTGAAAATAAGCCGGGCACCGGTGGAGGAAGCGCCCTAGACAATGAAACTGAGTATAAACCCTAGTCCACAGGGGTAAGGACTGGCCTGAACTCAGGCTGTGAAGGCTAGGAAGATGAAGGTCGCTGCCCACTGACCCTGAAAATGTTGGAATGGCTGAGAAGGCTAAGCATGTTGCCACTAAGCCTCCTGAAATGGGTGAGAAGGCCGAGGCTGCTGCTGAGACTGAGAATGCCGATGAACCTCAAGAGATCGTCTGCGGCGACTAGGCTCCCCCTCGTCCGAAACCTCTGTGCCTCGAGCGCAAGCGAGACCTCCGTCGCTCCTAAAAGACACAAAATGAAAAGATGTTAATAGTGTAAGATACAACAAATGGTAAATATGGGGAAAAAGGTGAATATACCTCGAGAACGCCTCCAGAACCGCCCCGACAACTCGCACCACGTCGAAGCTTGATGATGTAGTACTTTAAAGCGTCAACCATCTTCATGAATCCCATCATTTCCGGGTGCGTAGGCTGAGAAGAAAGCAAAGAAAAATCAGTAAACAAGCAATTTTAAAAAGGATGAATAACGTGTCAAAAAGCTTATCGGCTCAAACACATCAGGCAAAGACTAATGTGCCTATCTAAAACCCTCTGGCGCGTCAGCAATATGATCCTCAGTAATACCGATCGGTCCCGGGTAACGGACAGATTGAGGCGGGACCTCAATCTTCCCCATAACGACAATTAATCGTCTATAAATACGATCGAATAATCAGGTTATTCGACAGTTTAAACAGAGACTAGCGACAAAACTCTCAAAGAAATCATACCTTGGGAAGACGAGGTGGAGGACCCAAAGAAGGAATCAAGTCCTGTGAATAATCTCCCTCCATACGCACAAGCTCCTGCCAAAAAAAAGTGTAGCGTTATCCCCCTATTTATCAACTCCCTAAGCAAACGTGAGTCCAGCATCGACTCCGGCGGAGGCAAAGGCACCACAAAGCGATCAGCGCTGTGCTGACGAACAACGCACTCCCCAAGATACCAAGCAAAGCGTCCAGTACCAACAAAAATAGTACCGTACGCCGAAAGCCGCAAGGCTCGGGAAGATCAGTCATCCTAGTCCAAGGCCGATACTAGAATCTCAACAGCAAACCTGAAAACCATAAAAAGTTGCAATGAATGCCGAAAAATAACAACAAGGTAGAGAATAAACTGCTGCAAGATCAATTACTACACCAACAGAAGAGGTGCCTCGGTGTAGCAGCTCGTGCAACGTAGAGACGGACTCCACTCGTGACTCGCCTCGGTCACGCCAGCTAGCTCCGACAGGGAAATCATGGACCGCTCTGCGACGCCGTCGAGGGGCCAATCTCGGAAAGTACTCATAGAACCACAAGTGCAATGAAAAGTATTCTTTAAGCACATGATTTAAAAAGGTTGAAAACAAAACAAGAAGAAGAAAGATCGTCACCTCTACGACTCTCCATAAACCGTAGACAGTGACAAGGGTCTGGTCATTCAGTTGCCTACAGCCATGACGTATCGACGAGAGAAGATCGGCATATCTAAGGTTGGCCCAACTATAGGATCATATCTAGCCGATCCTGACCAAAGAAGGAAGGTAGCAAACGAGTGCACGTGAACTCCTATCAGGAGAAAGAGTCACGGAAATGAGAATCAAAATGAAGATCCGCACTCGCTGCTCAGGTGATGTCTCATCCATGTCAAAGCCACAAGCCAGAACAGAAGCCAACTCTGATCGCCCTCTCTTAGGACCACCTCGAGGCATTGGCTGAGTCTTGATATGCTAAACAACCGGACCTAACAAATCTGCTACCTCAGCCACCCCCAAGTAAGGTCAGGAATCTGCCGTACGACTCGATCGGTGAAGCATAAGCCGCTGATCATGCTAAAATCCAGGGGGTCACTGTCATCTCCCCCCAAGAAAAGTGAAAAGTGTTGGTAGTATCCCAAAAATACTCCAACAACGCACGAATAACTGTTGGGCCATAACCCCGGGGGCTGCGAAATCCTACGACCGCCGAATAAAAATCTCCTAAACCAGCAGACTCCCACAAGGCATTCGTAACAGGATCCCTCGTGATAATCCCATATATCCGGGGAATCAAATCTCCAACTCCGGATCCATGATGGCAAAGCGTACCATCGACTATGCCGGCAAGTGGACGGTGAGAAACGTGGTTCTCACGGCAGAAAACCAACTCATCTGGAGTCCATGGAGGTGGAATCCACCTGCCCCTACTCGAAGAAGGGCGAGGCTTGGTCTCTAAGGCATCGTCGTCCATACCCTCAAGAACTGTGGGAGTGTCCACCCGAAAAGCCTGACGCGGCCACGAGTAGAAAGATCGCGATCCCGTTGTCTAGGCATGCTATTACAAAAGTAAAAATCTAAATACTTAGCATCATTTCCTAAGTTATTTAGTTATTTATTAAAAAGCGGCTTAACAGTTACCTTAAGTTGCATTTTCTATTATACGCAAAATTTTTACCTCAAGGCTAAAAATTAGCAAAATAATGGAATTATTTCTAGTATTTAGTTCTCCTAATTGCATGATACTATGTTCTCCATGACAATATAGTACATACATAAAACAGAGCATGTTTCAAAATTGCACAAGAACGATAGATCGACACATCATGACATATTTAACAAGATCTACAACCAATATATCACCATTTCAAGTGCAAAAGAATATCATGAACAACAAGAACACTATTTCATACAAGTAGTACCAAAAAAATGGTGATTTGCTCAATTTCTCTCCAAAACACAACAAACTTGGTCTCAAATTGTCATAAACAAACATACATTCATATACAAGTCAATTCATAGCAAGAATT